CATTATATCTCGACTACCTTAGGCCACCTCAGCCCCTTCTTGGGAATTAGGCTGTCTGAATAGGCAAAGAGGCAGATATCCAGCTGTCAGGTGAATCAGATGTCCTCATCAGATCTCTTAATTTCCACTTTTGTGATATTTCAAAGGATCACAAATTATTTTCTTAGTGCCTGGTCAGAGAACCGGGAAAGAGCTAGAAGGTGAGACACCAAACTCCATCCTATGGTGATGTTTGAACCAGGTTGGAGCTGGTTTCACATGTTTTTCATTGTGCATGACTTTCTTAATTGCCTTAGTGGGATTGTGTTACTGCAAAATAAAGTGAAATTGTTTTCCTTATTGCTTGTAATTTACAGAGGGGTGGTTTTGATAATATAAACCAAGGACTTTTCAAATCCATTGATCTTAGGGTGGAAGGAGGGGTTTCTTTTTAAGTATTCATTTTGAGCTATGCTTTCACTAGTAAATTCAAAGCCCAAGGGGAAAAACCCATGTTTCTCCGTTTTGTAATAGCTATTAGATGTCCACAGCATCATCAGACCTGTGGAAAACGCATGCTTTGTGTATGGAAGACGGAGCGTCAGGAGTTGTCCTTTGCCAAGAAATGGACCCTGACACTCAAAGGCACAAGCTGGAGGAGATCCAGGGAACCCGGGAAAGCCCAGGCCTAACTCAGGCCCGCGTGGGTCTCTTCTGATCCCAGAAGATGAGGACTGGGTCCCGGCTCTGGGCATCCTAGTGTCGACTATGAGTTCCCAGCAGAGGCCCATAGTCCCGGTCCGGCAGCCAAGGGAAGCGGCAGGGTCTCCCAGAAGAAGAAAGGGCCAAGGTCACCCCGGGTGACTCTCCAGCAGCAGCGGAGGGCGGCGGTCGGGGTCGCGGCTGGCCGGGGCCTCGAGGAAGCCGCGGGTCAGCCAGGGCTGGGTCTCCGTTCCTAGGCGCTGCCACCGTTCCAGGGAGCCAGTCAGGCCGGGACGTAGCGCCTGCGTGGGACCCTCACCTGCCACCGGGACCCCCACAAACCCCGCCCCATCCTGCCTTACGCCCCGCCCCAAGGTCGTCCCCCCGACCCAGGGTCCCGCCCCAAGGCCGTCCTCCCGCCCCGCCGCTTGGTGGCGGCCGCATGCTGCCCGGATATAAAGCGTCGGCCCCCCATCCCAGGGACCAGCGAGCAGCCTCCAGAGGCTCTGGCTCTTGCTTCTTAGGCGGCCCGAGGGTGCCATGGCCGAGTGCCCGTTACGTGAGGAGGAAGTCACCGACCACCCGGACCGCCTGTGGGCCTGGGACAAGTTCGTGTATTTGGACGAGAAGCAGCGCGCCTGGCTGCCCTTAACCATTGAGGTACAGCCAGCTCTGGAGCGGATGGCGAGGCAGCAGGGGCAGCCCCCGGGAGTTTGAGATGCCCTAGGAAGGGTGAGGCCTTGAGAAGCACCCACTGTGGGGCAGGGAGGATCCCCACAGATGAAGCCACTTTGAGCCGGGCTCTGGAGGATGAATAGGAGTTCTCCAGGCAGGGAAAAAGGGTGGGAAAACCGCAAAGGAATGTCGGCCAAAGGAGGGGACCCAGTGCCTGTGGAGTGTGACTATAATGTTGACTACAGCAGGGCTTTTCTGGGCTTCGGGGTCCTAATCCTTAAAAATGGGTATCTCTAAGTGACTCATCCATACGGCCGATTATCGGAATCATCTTAGGTGGGTCCCAGAAATCTGTATTTTAAAAAGAACCCTCAACAGCTCAAAAGAACACGTCAACCAGGCATAGCAACCACTGCCCCGGTGTGTGAAGTATTTTCCATGACCTCTGTGCTTTATTTAGAAAACAAATTTAACAAGTGATGTCGTAGTATAAGCGCCGGTATTGAATCAATATTGACTTTGTTTTATGTGTGATGCCTTAAGATGGGTCCTTAGTCCATGTTAAGTTTTTGTTAAACAAATATATAACTCTTTTACAAGTATTTGGATTTACTCGATGAAAAAGAGTCAAAAAATGTTCAAACTCTTTCCAAACATAGACTGAAGAAAGCATAAAAATTAAAACAAATTAGAACATGTTTGTCCAGTAGCAAACAATCAAAAGTTATTGAGTGTTAACTGTGTCTCTACAGATGGGAAACTGAGGCACAAAAATGTACATTTGTCCAAGGTAGGGCTGCTAGTAGGTAATGGGGTTGGAATTCTAGGCTGTTAACCACCACCAAAATTTGCATTTTTATTGGCACTTCAATTTTTTAAATACGTTTTTACTTTAATAATCAAGTTAAACATTTACTTTTTTAAAATCAAAATTTGAAGAAATAATCTGAAGATTCAGTGAATTTCTTTTTTTAAATCTCTGGTTGAGAAATCTCTTCAACGTGACACCAGAATCATAAACCAGACAGTTTTTCATATAATCATGATAAATGCCACACAAAAACCCACTAGCAAACTGTGGGACAGATTTTGCCTCATATCATTGAAAAGGCCAGTATTCTTTTTCTCTCTTTCTTCTTTGTCTTTTTTTTTTTTTTTTCCTGTAGAGACAGGGTCTCGCTCCGTCACCCAGGCTGATCTTAAACTCCTGGCCTCAAGCGATCCTCCTGCCTCGGCCTTCCGAAGCACAGGAATTACAAGTGTGAGCCACTGCAACCCGCCAGAAAAAAAGTGTGCCTTTCATGGCCCTGTCTGGGTGGCTAGACACATGTGCGTGCTGGTGGTCCTGGCCCAGCCAGAGTCCCTGAGAGGAGCATGCATGGCCTAAGGAAGTGAGCTTCAGGGAACAGTAATGACCGTCATTTCATACTCGGACCCCTGCCCAGATGGGTGGGTGGCTGGCAGGAAGGACTCTGGTTTTCTGTGCCTGGAGGAGCCCTGGCAAGCGGAACCTGAAAGTATGCCCTGTCCTTTTCTTCTCCTCAGATAGAGGATAGGTTACGGGTGCTCTTGCGCCAGGAAGACATCGTACTGGGGAATCCCATGACCCCCACCCAGAGAGGCCCAAGCTTGCTGCCTATCTTGTGGCAGCTCTACCCTGATGGACGATACCGATCCTCAGACTCCAGTTTCTGGCGCTTAGTGTACCACATCAAGGCGAGTGTGCTTCTCCCAGGGATCCATCGGGTGATCTTGGGTTTCCCCTCCTCCGTGTCTGGCCTTAGTGGTTTATCTTCCCTTCATCCCAGTCCCAAAAGCATCAAAAATTGGGGGGACCTGGACAACTGAGGATTTCTAAAGGACTTTCCCAGAGAGAAGATAGATCCTCTGAGGTATCTAACAGAACCCTACCTCCCCTTCCTCCCAGCCCCCCAGCTGGCCGCAGGAAGACATCTCCGGTGGGCAGCCACAGGCTGAAGGCTGGTGGGAGGAGGAGCAGTCTCCGAGAGCCCCTGAAATTCACACTTGGGTTCCTACCTGCTGTTTCCAGCTAGGGGAAGGCGCAGGAGTGAGGAATGGAGGGAGTGGAGGGCTCTGGCCGATCAATGCCTTCTCTGTCTCTCTGCCTCTCAGATTGACGGCGTGGAGGACATGCTTCTCGAGCTGCTGCCAGATGACTGAGTGTGGCACGGTGAGCTCCACTGACTGGGGCTTGACCCCTCCCAGTCCACAGTGGCTGTACCAGAAGGAAAGACCACTCCTTCTCCATGAAGGCAGTGCTAACCCCTCCCCGACTGCTGCCATCTCAGGCCTCCCAGGGATGGGAGAGTCTTCCTGGAGGCACCCATGTCTCTCCCTTACCACTTTGGGAGCCCCCTTTATCGCAGCTGCTCATATCTACACAGTACTTCACAACTTCACCTTTTAGCGAGTACTTTCAGTTCCCATTGCCTTTTGTTTTTTTTTTGAGTCTCGCTCTGTCGCCCAGGCTAGAGTACAGAGGTGCAATCTCAGCTCACTGTAAGCTCTGCCTCCTGGGTTCACACCATTCTCCTGCCTCAGCCTTCCGAGTAGCTGGGATTACAGGTGCCCGCCACCATGCCCAGCTAATTTTTTGTAATTTTTTTTTTTAGTAGAGGCAGTGTTTTACCGTGTCAGCCAGGATGGTCTCGATCTTCTGACCTCGTGATCTGCCCGCCTCAGCCTCCCAAAGTGCTGGGATTACAGGCTTGAGCCACCATGCCCAGCCTTACCATTGCTTTATTAAATAAGCACTGGTGCTTGATAATATAACTGAGCCAGATATTAGATATGTTACTGAGTTTTGAGGAGATAAGATTACAAAACTCCAAAATGAGTTTTGAGGACGTACAGTGAGTGACATCTTCAGATTGCAGAGCCAGGTGTATTCTGACCATAAGTCTTCTGCCCTGTTCAGAATTTGCCTTGGCTCAGAAGGCCTCTGGGGGCCATCCCTGACCACGAGGCTTCCCACTTAGACTTGCTCGCCACTGCCTGGTCCTTTCCTTCACCCTTGATTCTGTCTTCTCTTGTCCTTTCCCAGGTCTCGCAGCACCGGTCTCCTTTCGCCCCAGGGCCTGAGTCGGGCCAGCCTACAGTGGGGATGTTATGTTTCTGTTCACCTTCGTTTACTACGCCTGTGTCTTCTCCTCCACCACGCTGGGGTCTGGGAGGGAACGGACACACAGAGGATGAGCTCTCCCCAGGGCCTGCTGGACCTGCCCGTAGCCCACTCTGCTCCCCTCAGCACTACCACTCCTGCCAGGGAGGACTCCATTTGGCAGAGCTTCTTCCAGGTGCCCACCTTTACCTGTGCCTCAGCTTTTCTCAGCTGGCTGATGCTTTTCAGCCTCTTTCTGCCCCTGCTGTCCCTCACAGCACTACTGTTTCATGTTGCACACCCCCTCAGCTCCGTGAACTTGTGAGAACACAGCCGATTCACCTGAGCAGGGCCTCTGAGACCCCGGACCAGTGGTCTCACATGGTGCTGTGCCTGCAAACCCTGCCTGAACACAGGTTCAGGTGCAGCTCAAGAAAAGGCCTGAAAGGAGCCCTTGTCTGCGCTCAGGACTCAGAAGCCTTTGTTTGCGTCCGTGGTCCACAGCCCGGGACGCAGCAGGAGGCCAGGCCGGCGAGCCCTGTGGACGAACCCTCAGAACCCTTGGCTTGCCCACGTGGAAAAGGGATAGAGGTTGGGTTTCCCCCCTTTTATAGATGGTCACACACCTGGGTGTTATATGAGGTTGTATGTGTCATGAATACTTTTTGTAATGATTGATTAAATGCAAGATAGTTTATCTAACTTCATGCTGAATCAGCTTCTATCCTTGACTTAGATTCTGGTGAAGAGAAGTGAGAAGAGGCAGCCACCAAATAAAAAAATTCATGGATTTATTTATTTTACTTTGGAGATAAGGGACTACAATTTTTTTCCCCATGTAATCCAATGCTTAAAACCCCAGTGTTCTTGGAGGCATACGTTGAGAACCATTGGAGTAAGCAATCTCAAAAACGTCGGCAATGCCTGGTATTCAAGAGCCCCTGTGCCTCCATCTGGTCCTGCCCTCCTCACCCTCCTCATTCCCATGTGCCCTCGGCTCCAACCAGCGCTGTCTTCTCCTCGCCCAGGCATTCACCAGGCTCTGTCCTTGCACAGATACTTCTGTCCTCTCTGTTCACAATACCAGCAGAAGCCCCTCCTGCCTGAAACTGTCCCTGGCCACTCAGGCCCCAAGCAGACTCCCTTCCCCACCTCCCATGACCTACAGTCACAGCAGATCCCACCCCTTGCCCTGTCCTCTTGCTCCCTTCTCAAGGCCCCCCTGTCCCTCCTGTATCTCCATAGACAGTAGCTGGACCTCAGATATTACCAGGGGATGCCTTCCAGAGAAGGGAATCCATCCTGTGTTGAATCCTGGCCCTCCCACTTTCATGTGTCTCTAGTCCACAGCTTTCTTGTCACGGATGAACTTAGAGGGTTCTTCTGAGGATTCAGCGGGATATATAACTGCAGTGTTTTAACAGAATTGTATAAGAAACACACTACTTTTCCCACTTTACAGTCTCTGAACCCAGGTTTCTTAACCAGCACTAGACAGAGAAGAAACACTTGATGCCCAATGTGCCAGGGTTTGTGTCTCTTGTAACCCAGTGACCCTGCACAGCCCATGGCAGCAATGGAGCTTGGTCTGTGGGAGCAATGACTGTACAGATGCCTCTCAGCAGGGCCAAAACATGGAGAGGCGGAGCAGGGGGGTCATGGGCGATCAGGCAGCCGCCTCATTTTAGGAATAGGAATGCGGGGACCCAGGAAGAGGAAAGCTTTTGTGCCAGATTCTTTTGTTGACCAAATATTTGACCATCACCATGCACACTGCCAGGAACTGGGACATAGCAAGGACAAGGCGAAGGCCCTACTCTCATGCAGCCTTAGTTCTGGAAAAAGATAAAAAGAAGGTGCGAAATCCCAGAAGAAAATAGAACAGGGTAACAAAGTATAGGGAGTTCGATTGGCTGGTAAGGAAATTCCTGTCTGTGGATGTGGTATTTAAGATTGGGCCTTGAAAAAGAGGGAGCTAGATTCTTAGGAAGAGGGGATGGCAAGCGCTGTGCAGATTTGATTTGCTGTGGAAATTAAAAACATAGCAAAAGGATTACTTCTTACTAAAAGAAATGCTGTTTTGTAAGAATAAATGACCCCAATAAATTAACTAAATGCAATGCAGAATCTCAGTTTTCCACCAGACTGACTCTAGGGTTTTGGCTGGAAACACAAAGTTGTTTTGCCAATGCATTCTAAATACCTCATAATTTTCCACATATATATATTTATATATAGAGAGAGAGAGAGAGACACGGAGTTTCACTGTTGTTGCCCAGGCTGGAGTGCAGTGGCACGATCTTGGCTCACTGCAACCTCCACCTCCCAGGTTCAAGCGATTCTCCCACCTCAGCCTCCCAAGTACCTGGGACTACAGGCACCCACCACCACGCCCGGCTAATTTTTTTGTATTTTTAGTAGAGACGGGGTTTCACCATGTTGGTTAGGCTGGTCTCCAACTCCTGACCTCAGGTCATCCACCCACCTTAGCCTCACAAAGTGCTGGGATTACAGGCGTGAGCCACCGTGCCCAGCCTCCCTCTACATATTTTATTGCATACATATTTATCTATATTTTATTTAATTTCTTTCAATAACATGTTGCAGTTTTCAGAGTATAGGTTTTACATTTCTTTTGTTAAATTGATTCCTAACTTTACTTTTTTTATTATGATAAAAAAAAATCTAATTAACCTGGCATGGTGGTATGTACCTTTAGTGCCAGCTACTTGTGGGGCTGAGGCAGGAGGATCGCTTGAGCCCAGGAAGTCAAGGCTACAGTGAGCCATGTTCCTGCCACTGCACTCCAGCCTGGGTGACAAAGCAAGACCCTCTCTCAAACAACAAAAAAGCGCAAACAAAAAAACTAACATGAAATTGCCCTCATAACAGACTTTTAAGTGTACAGTACAGTGTTGTTTATGATATGAACATTGTTGTACAGTAGATCTCTAGAACTTTTAAAAATTAAAAAAAAAAGTTTTAGTCTTGCATGACTAAAACTCTATGCCCTTTAAAGAGCATATCAATTCAAGGTTCTGTTTCGTAAATTGGATTGCTGAGCCATATGGTAGTTCTGTTTTTAATTTTTTGAAGAGTCTCCATACTGTTTTCCATAACAGTTACGACATTTTACGTTCCTACCAACTGTGCACAAGGGTTTGCCACAGCCTCACCAGCATTTGTTGTTTTCTGTTTTTTTGATAACGGCCATCCTCACAAGTATGATGTGATATTTATTTTACTTATTCTGTTCCAATCTGGATGATTTTTCTTTTGTCTTCTTGCCTAATTACCCTGGCTAGAACCTCTAGAACTGTGTTGAATAGAAATAGTGAGAGTGGGCGAGGCACGGTGGCTCATACCTGTAATCCCAGCACTTTGGGAGGCCGAGATGGGTGGATCACCTGAGGTCAGGAGTTCAAGACCAGCCTGGCCAACATGGTGAAACCCCTATCTCTACTAAAAACACAAAAATTAGCCCAGTGTGGTGGTGGGTGCCTATAGTCCCAGCTACTTGGGAGGCTGAGGCCAGAGAATCGCTTGAACTCGAGGCGGAGGTTGCAGTGGGCTGAAATCGTACCACTGCACTCCATCCTGGGCGACAGAGCAAGACTCTGTCTCGGGGGGAAAAAAAAAAAAAGAAAGAAAGAAAGCATGAGAGTGGACATCCTTGCCTTGGTCCTGATCTTAGAAATCTTCATCTTTCACTATTAAGTCTGATATTAGCTATGGCTTCTTCATAAATGTCCTTTATCACATTGAGGAAGTTCCCTTCTATTCTCGGTTTATTGAGTGTTTTTTTCCATGCAGGGATGTTAGATTTTGTCAAATGTTTTTTTCTGCATCTGTTGAGATGATCATCTATTGAAATGTTGGTGTTTGTCCTTTATTGTATTGATATGGTGTGATACACTCATATTTTTTTTT